CCCCCTAGTGTGAGACAACTATGGCCTTTGTGAGACAGCTTAAGCAGAAACTAAAGAAAACAGCAGTGCACAAACAAACAGCAGTATACAAACAGCAGTGCAATGTACAAGAAGCAGATGGAGTGTCATCAGGTTTCTTTTCCTTTCACAGATTTTTTAAAAATTTTTAATTGTCAAGGTGGGTTACAGTTACATAAGTAAGGTAATAAGAACATTTCTTGTCAAACTTGTTACCCCTTCCCTTTCCTCTCAGGTTGATGGCCCCCTTTGGGATGGTTACTATAAATCAATTATTTTTTGTTTTTTGTTTCAATCTGGCTTGTTGGGAATTTCCTGATTTCCTTAAGTTTACACTTGATTACAGTGCATTTACCATTAGTGACTATATTTTAGCTTTGTCTGCTGGAGTCTCCAGTAGGAGTCCAGTTCAAATCAATGGCTTCCCATAAACTACATTTAATAACTTTAAGAGTGGCTCAAAAATAGATTTTTAATAGACTAGAGTTGGACATCATTCAAAACTGTCTAGACATCAAGACTACCATCACCACCAAAAGCATGTTGACTCCATTTGCAATGCACTTCTCAGAATTACTTGAGATGACCTAGATTTGGATGGTTGGATTGTTAAGTGACTTGGACAAAAAACAGGAACAATCACACTAAGCCAGAATGTCTCTGTTAATGAGCTAAATAGGGTTTTATGGAATGTTTTGATTAATTGCTTCTGGTAATCTTCTCCTAGCTCTTTATGATGCTAAACAGCATGTGTGTGTGTGTGTATGTGTGTGTGTGTGTGTGTGTGCATCTATCTGTCTGTGTGTCTATGTGTTATTAAATAATACTACAATTTACATATAATGTTTTACTTTGGATGTAATAGAATTTAGAATTTTCTGATTCTAGTAATTATACCTAACAAAAAATCTAATGTTCTTGAAGTTGATCCTAAAAGTAATGGAGAAGAGTCTTGTACTGAGTAGAAATTTGAATCTGAAACTGTTTTGTGTTTATATTGCAATGCAAAACCCACTGGTTTTGTATGTGTTACTGGACCTGAGCTGACACAAGATAGATCAGGCATTTATACATACATATATTAGAAAAATGAAATATGATGGAAATATTTTGAAAAGCTAGAGAGCGAGAAAGATCACTGCTTACTTCAAATTTGTGCTTCCAGAGAGAATCTTATTCAGAGGCCAATGCTGGTTCTTAGTAGCTTGAAAGGGATACCAAAATTACTTGCTTCTCATCTGATTGTAAAAATTCTCATAAATAAGAGATATTTGTTTTCAGGCACAGATCCTTGTTTGCAGGCACTATTTGACCATGGGAAATGCCACCTGAGAGGAAGGTAGAGGTGGTTTTCAAGAAAGTCTGGACACTGTGCAGTAGACAAACCATTCAAAGTTCAGTAGGTGATTGATTCACAGCAAGACTAGATTATCACCAGAATCTGCATTAAAATGTAAGTTATTCCCAGAAGCACCAACCTTGCCTCTCCTGGTCCTATGAATTTATAATATTCCTTTTCAGGAATGAGATGATGACTGTATGTAGTTGTTTGTAAACCAACTTCTGTATAGAAAATGAAGATACACACTGAAATATGACTGATATGTATGTGTCACATGCCTGGATCCCTTGGTGTGAGAGGAGATTAGAAGCTTGACCAAAGCTGCTCTGGAGTGAAAGTGAATAAATACTGACTGTACCAAAGCACAGGGAAGGAGCAAGAACAAGAAGGGTCTTAGACTTTTACCCAGGCTATGTACCCAGGCCTGATTTGTCTTTGCTACAATGGTTTAATGATAGGCAGAATGATTTTGCCTAATTGGAATACTACTTTAAATAGCAAGAGAGACTGTAAATATGATTAAGTTTATGAGCCACAGATGTGGAAATAATGCTGGTTTGTTGTAGTGGTTCTATAGTGATTGAAGGAGAAATACAAAAGTGTCTCATAAGGACACACTGTGAAGACATGATCCTTCTTGGCTGACTTGAATCTGGGTAGAGGAGTTACAGGTGACGAACGTGGGAAGTATCTAGGGAAAAGTGAAGAAACTCGTTCTTTCTTGTAGCTTCTGAAAGAGCTCATATGTGTTGATGTTGGTGTTCTTGTAGGACTTCTGATCTTTATGAAATAAATAAGGGACCCTGAAGTACTAACACATATTGAAAAATGCTCATCCTTGTCTTTCTACTCTTATTTTGAGAATGAGAATTCCCCAAGTGTAGGGTGGTGCCATGATGTCTCCAAAACCAAATGGGTCACTGGTCTCTGTCTTGCATGAGAATAAAACTTCTTAAAAGAAGAGAAAGATCTTGGTAATAATGACTCACATTTCTTATTCTAGCTACTGTGGAGATTATTTCTAGAAGGCTGAGCATCAAAGCCAGTAGGGGCAAAAAAGTTCAAAAGACTCCATCTCCAAAGTAACCAACAAAAACAAAATAAGGCAAAGTAAACAAACAAAACAAAATAAAAAAAAGTAAAATGGTAGGACTGTAATCATGAACAAAGAAGCTGAGCAAGTAAGAGGTCCTGAGTTCAAGGCTCAGTGTCTACCAACCAAAAAAGGGAGGAAAGATTTCTTTAAAATGCAAACATCATTACTTAAAGATAATTAAAAAAAAAGGAAAGAAAAGAATGCCAACTTAAGGCTGGGGACATGGCTTAAGTGAGGCCCTGAGTATAAATTCAATTACAGCTAAAAAATAGAAAAGAAAAATGGAAGAGGAAGGAAAAAAAGAAAAATCCAATTCAATGATAAGTGGGAAAAACCTACTGAAACTTGGATCACTCTCGCAGCCCTATTAAATGCTTACTACTTTCTCTGATGTGTGGCAGACTGTCTTTTGCTCTGAATTAATAAAGCTTTCTCTGACACTCACCACTACTCAACTTTCTATTTAGCACGTTGGGGTGAGTGGCTATACCTGGCATGTGGATAGGAAAGGATAAATAAGCATTTCAAACCATCTTGGCTGTACAAAAATGAGCTTTAGACTTAAAGAATGACATCCCCCTTCAATTGTAGGGATGGGGCTTATATCCTAAGCTGGCCTCCAACTTGTATTCTTCCTGTTTTAGCACCAAGCATGTACATCAAGCAAGTACACTACTATTCTTAACTTCAGGCAGATTTTTCCCCCTACGGTAATGGTTTTTAACTGCCAGAATTTATAAGAATCATCTGTGGTGTTTATTAACTTGCAGATTCCCAAACTCCCTCCTAGATGTATTGAACGAAAATCTGTGTAGAGGTCATGGAGCCGTTAAAATAAGAACTTTCAGTGACACACAGAGACACTCATGCAGAAGAATTCAATGCACAGATGAAGAAAGAGATGGAATGATGCAACCAAATGCCAAACATTGCTGGGAAGAGGAAAAGAAGAGTCTTCTCTAAAAGTAACATGTCCCCACAACCCCTTGACTTTAGACTTCCAGCATTCAGAGCTGTGAGAGCATACATTTCTGTCATTTTATGTGCCCAAGTTTAAAATATACCTCCCCAAATCAATCTGGCAACAAACAATGTGGAATTGTGTAGAGATTTAGCATGTTCCTGTGACAGAGACTACAGGTAACCCACCAAGTTTGTTGTCCTTTTTTCATTCTTGGCAGAGCTGGGTTTCTGGTATGGAGTTTACTCCATTCCCACGTGACTGGGGGAATCCACCACTTGGCAGCTCTAGGAGTGAATCCCCACTAGCTCAAGCCCCAAATTGGTTTTTGCCTTTCTCTTTTTAGAGGAGGAATAGTGAACAGTATTAGGATTTGATTGAGATCAATTTAGAGTCAAAACCATGAATCCTAGCCTTTTGAGGATTTATACAAAGTAGACCAGAGCAATGCCCTAGATGGCAGTTTAGGAATGAGGATGTGAAACCATCAAATAGTGTGTGCCAGTCACTGTGGGAGACACTTTAGGCAAAATCTCTATCCCCATAACAAGCCTACTAGGCAAATAGTCCTATCTCTGTTTTACAAGTTGGGAAATGAAGGTGTGGAACGATTCCATGACTTGCCATTATAGCTAAGTGAAATGTCATTCACCAGTGTTAAAGAGACCATATTGACTTTGTGACTTAGGGAAAGCTCCAAACTCCTCTGGCCTCCTCTCCCTCAGGCTCATCTCCTTCTTCTCTCTGGCTCACTCTGCTTAGCCATACTCAGTTTCTTTCTTGACTATGCTGGTCAGTGCTCATATCTGAACCTCTGCAGTGTGGGAGTCTCTGTCCGAATCTCTATCTGATTTTCTGTCTTGCCTCAAATACTTCCCAAATCATGCTGTTCTTTTTTTTTTATTTGTGAAGATGCTGTACAGAGGGGTTACAATTACATGGGCAGGATAATGTGTACATTTCTTACCAAGCATTGCAGCCTCTTCCTTTTGTTTACCCTTCACATCCCTTCCCAGCCTCTCCCCTCCCCCCCCCAATCCCAATCATGCTGTTCTTTGACCAAAAGTTTAGTGTTGCCTCTCCAAGACTACCTGCAGGATCTCTGTTTTGTTCAATTTTTCAAAAAACACTGAAAAGCAAAAGCACGTATATAAGCACTCGCTGGGAAAGCCATAACATAAATAATGATATGGACTGCAGTGGTATTTTCATTCCTTCACTGACAACCATAGGATAGAGGAACACAGAATTTGAGAAATGCACTTCCCATTTAGAAGAGTGTCTGTCAGTCTTGATACGCTGTTCTGATTGTATAGTTCAGTAACAAGCTGGTCCTTTTGACAATCACGATGTTCTATCTGATGTTTCATACATTAGCCAGGTGACTGTAGAGACTCCTAACTCTAAGTTAATTCAACATCTCTAACAGCTAAGTCCCACATTTTACATAAACTTTTCAATAGAAGTCAATAACTAAATATTTAATACTGAGGAAAGTAGGGTATATTCTACTTAATACAAGAAATATAAACATTCAGTTTGCAGTGTTTCTTTTTATATTAACATTTATTATTGTCTATTATTACACAAAAATTGTCATATTAAAAAATTTTTAAATACAGAAAAACATATGAAGAAAAACATTAAAATTACTGACAATCCCATCTCTAGAAGTAGCTACTGTTACCATTCCAGTATAGTAAGGTTTCTTCCAATGTATTTGTATCCACTTGTAGTTTTATTTTTACTGGTTTCTATCTTAACATTGTATCATTATAATTGTCCATGTTGTTAAATATTTGAAATGATAACTTTTAAACTATCCAATCTTATTTAACAACAGATTTACTTAAGGATTATGTTTGATATTTGTAACTTCAAAAACATGGATACTTGATTTTTAAGGCATTATAAAATGAACAGACACAAACAAATTTACCTAAAACTTTTAGGTAATAATAACATGCATAGTGAAAAAGCTACTTTCTTTAAATCACAATATCTGTATAATAATTATATTAAGAAGTACAAATCACTAATATCACATTTTTCAAGTATTCTCCAAGTGGCTGATGTTGCCTGCAGTGATCTTAGTATTGAGGACAAAGCTGGCAGTTTTACCATATTGGTGGCATTGTGATCTCATCTCATAATTGAAACCTTGACAAGATTGTCTTCTGACAATGGAGAAGCTTCTTCTGAATGAGAGGTATCCTAGGTTAGGCTTCAGATCTGGAGCATTTCAGCAGTAGATCTTGATTGTCAGACTGAACTATGAGCATTAGAGAGAAGTTAGCTAATACACAATGCTCACTGGATGGCAATGGAAAGTATATAGCTTTAAAAAGCCTATCTGTCTTTATCTGTCTTTAGAAAGCTTAGTTGTCTCTGTCTAGTCAAAATGAGGTGGAGAAATAAACACCCTAGATAATTTAAATCAGTGAAGTTGATAAGGTGTAAAATATGCTTCAAAAATTAGCCTTTATATAGATTTTTTCAACTATTAAAATGTTAATTGTATATCAAGTTTACTTACTTTAAAAATTCAGGAAAAAATGTTTTAACCTCAGAAGCTATAAACTGCATCATTTTACATTCTTTTCATTGCATTTGATAGGAAGTTATTAGTGTTTCTACCATACAAAACAGCACTTAAATATATGAATAAGACGTGGGAGGACAATGAAAGATATGACATTGATCAAGATGCATTGTACTCATAATTTAGTTTGTTGAACTGAAATCAATTGTGCAACTATTTAAAATTGAATTTAAAAAATTAGAATAAGTTCACTCATCCATTAGAAAGAATGATATTGTACCATTTGTAAAGAAATGGAAAGCCCTTGAAAAAATTATATTAAGTGAAGTCAGGACCACAGAGACAAAGAGTATAAGTTTTCCCTTATTATATGGAAGCTTGATTTAGCTTATAAATGTATAAGAAAATATATGAGATGGTATGCAATTATATATATATATATAAATGTATTAACTGAAATATGATAGATTTCAAGGAGAACTCAAATAAATTGAATTCCTTAGAAAAGAAAAGTCAAAGTTCAGCAAAATATAACACAACGAAGTAAGTACTCCAAAGGGGTGGGATGGGATGGTTTCGAGGGAAAAGAGGCGAATTAATGAAGAGGACAAGAGGGAGAAATGCAAGAAAGAATCCAATGTATATCCTACAAAATTAAGAAGAGTGAGGGAAAAGGTGGGTAATGAAGGGATTGGTGAGAATGTTGAAAGAGCTGACACTGATCAACTTATATTGTACTCATAACCTGCTTGGTTAAATGGCAACTCCTTTGTACAACTATTTAAAAATAAGAAAAAGATTTAAATTTTAAATTTCTCTACTCTGTGTATTAGAGTTAAAACATAAAAAGGTAGAAATAAACATAGAAATTCAACCTATCAAGTAATTGACACCATACAGAGGCTAGTCAAACCTGGTAGGAAGACAAAAAGGCTATCTAGGATTACAACTGGATCATGGTTAGTATTTTCTTGAAGGTGTCGGAAACACAAATTTAGAACTTTGACTCTGATTGCCAGTCCACAATTCCAAACAATGATAAAAGCTGCCATATGACTTTTTCTTTTTTTTCTTTTCTTTTCTTTTTTTTTTTTTTTTGTTGGTCGTGGGGCCTGAACTCTAGGCCTGGGCTCTGTCCCTCAGCTCTTCGGCCCAAGGCTAGTGCTCTACCACTTGAGCCACAGCACCACTTCTGGCTTTTTCTGCTTATGTGGTGCTGAGGAAACGAACTCAGGGCCTTATTCATGCAAAGCAAGTGCTCTACCACCAAACCACCTTCCCAGCCCTGCCATATGACTTAAATAGTCTTCAGTGACTGAATTAGGGCATGTGCTCAGACCTTCCTGATAGCAAGATCCCCAAAATCCCCAGTGAGGAACACTTGCTTATGACCATCTCCATCCCTTAGGTATGCTTCTTAACCCAAATGACAGAAGCACAAGTTACCATGAATGTTGTATAACACTTATCATAAGCATTGTGCTTGGAAAAGTAAGAAATTCCTTCATTTAAGAGGCCCAAACTCACCCACTAGCAAACATATCCTTGCTTCTTACACTTGAAAGCACAGGCTCAGAATTGAAAAAGGATTTTAACCACCAGGTAGGTTCTGTCACTTCAGGTAGCCCTATCAAATAAAATTCATAGTAAATTCCATCAAACAAATTTGAGATATTAAAAACAAAGAGAAATAATAAAGATGACACTGATAAGAAATAAAGTAAGTACCTTGCAGAGATTTGTCATCTTCTATGAAGTTAATAGATTCAGAGTTAGATAATGAACTGACTGAAGAAATACTTGATTCTATGAGAAACAAAAATAAAGAAATGAATAGAAAACAAACACCACATATTAGTTATATACTAAATCTTGAGTAGGATGGTTTGAAATTATTTACTCCTAGTTCATGAATCAAAAATGATCAAATCTATCATTGAAAAAGCTTCTATCTCTTCTATTTATTGATCTGTCTATGTATATGTATAACTATCTATCTAAACAGAGATACAAAATTCAAAATGATGTCAAATTTTAAAAAATTGAGGGTGAAATTGATTGGAAGACAGTGTAAACAGGCATGGAGCTGTAATAATGGAATTCCTACTATAACCAACATCAGCCAATAAAACTAATAAATAGAAACAACTGAAAAAAACTCAAAAACTTAAGAGGTAAAAATTAATGCATATGGGACTGGGAAGATGGCTCAGTGGTAGAGCGCTTGGCTTGCATGCGTGAGGCCCTGGGTTCGATTCCCCAGCACCACATAAACAAAAAGAAAAAAAACCGGAAGTGGGGCTATGGCTCAAGTGGTAGAGCGCTAGCCTTGAGCTGAAGAGCTGAGGGACAGCGCCCAGGCCCAGAGTTCAAGCCCCACGACCGGACACAAAAAAAAAATTAATGCATATTAGCCAGGCACTGATGGTTCATGCCTGTAATCCTATCTATTCATAAGGAGATCTGAAGATCATGGTTCAAAACCAGCCATGGCAGGAACGTCTGTGAGACTCTTATTTCCAATTAATCACAGAAAAAGCCAAAAGTGGCATTTATGGCTCAAATGGTAAATTGCTTGCCTTTAGCAAAAAGAAGCTCAGGGACAGCATCCAAGCCCAAAGTTCAAGCCCTAGGACCAGCAAAAAACTAAAAAGGATAGAAAGAAAAGAAAGAAAGGAAGGAAGGAAAGAAAGAAAGAAAACAAAGAAAGAAAGAAAGAGAAAAAAGGAGGGAAGGAGGGAGGGAGGGAGGGAGAGAGGGAAAAGAGACAGAAAGAGAGAGAAAGAAAGAGAGAGAAGGAGAGAGAGAAGGAGGGAGGGAGGTAGAGGAAAAGAAAAATTTAGTGAATACTATTGCAATACCTTAGAAATGTTACATATATACATATCTATCTAAGATCTCTATATATATATTTAAAAACTTACAATAATTATCAAGTTTATTGAATTAAGAAATTAATTTAGGAGGATATTTTATTTGTATTTTAGACTTCTAAATAACTAAATATTTTTAAAGACTGCAATACAGCCATTAAGGTTACAAATGCCTGAATTTCCAGAACTCAGGAGACTAAAACAGTTAGACAAAAGTTTGAGGGCAGCTTGGGCTACATAGCAAGTTCCAAGCCAACAAGAACTTACATCAACAAAAATATTTTTTCTTGATAGAATAGTAAGTTAATGAGCATAGATTAACCTCTTTACAAAAAACAAAATAAATCCACAGATGTTGCTAATTAATGCTATAAATAGTTAAAGTAAGATTTTTCTACAGTTTATTGATATAGAGACTTCAGTAAGGTTCAATTTGTTTGGAGTGCTTGTTTCAATTTATGAAATTTCTCAATATCCTTGTTTAAAAACATCTACAATTTTCTCTTCAACTTTTAAGGTAAGAGATATATGGTTAAAATAAGACAGAAAAAATAATTTAAAAAACACAGGCCAGATAGAAGTTGACCAAGAATCATACTATCCAGTCTGTCCTAAAAAAATTGAATAATATTTATTTATGCAAAATTTTAATGTGCGTTATAGAATTCAAAGTATGTGAACTGAAGTCTATGAACTACAAGCTTGCTTTTGTTATGATTTTATGGGCACACTATGGCCTAATAAAGAGATTAGCCTGGATAATATTGGTGGTCAGAGATTTCTCCCCACTCTCTCCCAAGAGTGGACAGTGCTTTGGTAAGGCTAGACGTGATACACTGGTCAGCAATACTCCACCAACATTATCCATTACTCTCAACCCGTATTCTTTAATAATGATACAACTTACTTCGATAATACTGGTTTTTGGCCAGAAGACAACCAATAGAAGGAACTGATGCCATGGCTTTTCTTGTGAGTTAGTGTCAAAGAGACTGTGAGCAGCAATCTGCAGATCTCTGACCACATGAGAAACCTCCAGGTTAGTAGTGCAGATTTTCCTTCACCTTCTACACTGTGAAAACAGGTTTGTGCAAAGCAACATAATTTATCAACTAATACAAGGAACTTAAAAACTTACATGAAATTGCAGTTAAATCTGCAGTCATAAACAAAAATGCAATCAACTAACACATTCAGCTGGAAAAAAAACTACATACTCAAATACAAACAATACATTTGGAAGATGTTGAGAAAGCTATGGAAGACCGTATATTACTCCTTTTTTTTTTTAAGAAGAAGGAGGAAGTGAAAAATAATGGTTTTTAATCATATGCTCTAGCTAAGTAAAAAAGAGAAAAGGAACAGAAAATAAAAGTACCTGCTCCAGAAAAAAAATACACTCTATCTGAACAAACCCAAAGGTTAGGAAAAAATGTGTTGCTGTTACTCACAGATATGATCTCTTAAAAATATAGATTGCTTGAAGTTTCTTCAGAAAATGCACATTTTGAAGAACTACTTATTTAGTAATCTGGAAGAAGCTGCATCGGCACACAGTGAGGAGATCCCATCCAAGGGCTGCTGGTGTGACCTGAGCAGGCCTTATATTAGACACCAGGCTGGGTGGAGCCCAAGTCCTGGATGATTTGAGCTAGGGTGGCATGCAGCCAGGGAAAGGAAGCGTGACTGCCCTCTGCTTTCTGTCCTCTAGCGGTGTAGAAGAACTTCCAATATCTCAGTTGCCAAGTCCAGCAACAGAATTTGGCTTTGGCTAGGGGGACTTGGCTTGGACTTGGTTTTATCTCTTTTAGGGTCACAACTTAACACTAAGTGCTGGGTTCAGGAAGAAACCCAGGTGTCTTGGATACAAAAAAAAAATTACCAGAGCACCATCCTGGCACCACTGGGTATGACACAAATTATCTGCAGCCCAGCTGGGTAGATTGAACAAACCCATAAACATAACGGTGCGAGGAAGCCATGTAAGCACAGCAGAACCAAGACAGGCCCTGAGTCGTGGCCAAGGATTTCTGGGAAATGAATGTATCAAGTAGAACTTTATGGGCAAACGGTGAGCTAGACATTGCAGCAGGAATGAGAGCATTATAGATAATCTTGGGAAAATTGTGAAATCGCATTAGTATTACTTATTAATAAAAAAATTCAAACTAATGTTTCTTTTGGGGGGGCGGGGGTCCGGTCGTGAGCCCTGAACTCTGGGCCTGGGCGCTGTCCCTCAGCTCTTCAGCTCAAGGCTAGCGCTCTACCACTTGAGCCACAGCGCCACTTCCGGCTTTTTTTTTTCTTTTTGCTTATGTGGTGCTGGGAAATTGAACCCAGGGTCTCATGCATGCAAGCCAAGTGCTCTACCACTGAGCCACCTTCCCACCCAGTTTCTTATGTGGATTTTTTCCATTTGATTTACTCAGTTGATTTAGAGATCAAAATCTAGATAAGGAGATAGTAAAAATTGAGAGGTGTTGGTCAAAGGGTAAAAAGCCACAGTTACATAAGAAGGATAAGTAAGAAGGATACAAGCATGAGAATTATACTTAATAATATATATAATATGTATATATATATATGATATGTGTATATATATATAATATGTATATATATATATATATATATACATATATTATCCTGAAAATTGGCCAGAAGTAGATTTGGGTACTCAAGTTAAAAAAAAGATACTTTCTTATATAAGATAGGATAGGTTCATATAAAGACTAAGGATTTATTTTGAGTGGCCTTTTGCTTTTACCTTCTTTTATTAGTGCCAATATTTTTCTTTTGTGCTCTTTGTCTCTTATTAATATTGTAAAAGCAGTTTTTCTCTGTGCAATCAAGTTTGTATCTTTGTATCCCTTTACTTTCAACTACCTGTTCTATTTGTACATTAACTTCTAATTACCTTTGTTTTCTTTGTTTAACATCAAATAGTTGAACAAGAGTTTCCTTTTGACATGCCGCAAGCATACAAGCTACGCTGATCAGACTTACCCATACAGCCTTCTCCTTCCTCCCCTTCCTCCCATCCAAACCAAGATCAATGAACTTTATCATTCTATTTTCACACAAGTACCTAAATTATTTTGACCATATTTATCTTCATTTACTCTCTACATTCACTCCTCTCTCACACAAGTACCCACACTAAGACAGGACATGTTTCACCTTTGTAATATTCATTTTTGCTAATGTGCATGTTATTATTTACCATGACATTTCATACATAAATACATATTATATATGATTATATTTTGGTCTAGCTTCCACATATATAATTTACATCTCTCAATAACATACTCTCTAGATCTATCCATTGCCTTGTAAATGATTCTTCTTTATTGCTAATTAGTATGATATATATAGATATATTCCATTGTGTTTCTATATGTGTTATTTATCACATTTCCTTTATCCATTTATGAACTCCTTTTCAAAATTATTCACTGTTAGCCAACTTTCTTAGCATTAGACTTCTTCATAAATTTGCGGTTGTCACTTTCAGGCTCATAGTGGAGGGTTAGATATAGTTGTTCTGCTTCTTCTCTATCTGTTTCACTCCTGTCTAATGTCATGCCTTACCTCTCTAAGCTAGAAGCACTATTATTTTCAATATTACTCTTGCCTGACACTAGTTTTTGTATCTTTCAATATTTGTTACTCACAGTAAATAACTCACACTGAGTCATTTACTTATTTATACATTACATTGTGAACTACTGGAAAGAGAGAGAGAGAGAGAGAGAGAGAGAGATTATATAGTCATTCTGACTTAGCAATGTTCAACACTAACCATGTATATGGACCAAATATATATACACACACTCACACACACTCACACATACATATACATATATGTCATTTGTATTCTAAAAATGCAATAAAACCAACACTGTCCTCAGTGCATGAAAACAAGAATTCCATTATTAATTAATAATTAAAATATAGAACAAGGTATAGTAGTGTACACTCATAATTCCTAAACACAGGAGACAGAAGCAGGATGAGCCTAAGTTCAAACTCTGCCTGGAATATGTAGTAAGACTTTATCTCAAAACTAAAATCAAAAGAAGGGCTTGGTGTGGCAGCACAATACCTGAAATCTCAGAAGGAAAAGAAGATTGTGGCCTAAGGCCAGACTGGGAAAAAAAATCATAAGATCCTATCTGAAAGATAAACTAAGGCATAAAGAAATGGTAGAGACCCTGTCTGGCAAGCATGAAGCCCTGATTTCAAACTCTAGGCCTACCAAAAAATCAAAATAAAATAAGAGGGCTCAGATATTCATGCCCTACTGACAAAATTTCTTCCTGATTGTTGACTTGTTGTATTAGGGGTTATTTTTCAATATCTAAAAGTTATCAAAATCACATTTTGACTGAGTTTCTTAGACTTAAGCTATGCTCACATTTCTATTTGATAGTAACAAGGGAAGTAACTAACTGTCCAACTCTGGTGACAGTCTGATAAACAATATGGGAATTGGAGCTATTGTGTACATTTTCTCTTCTGACACATTGCAAATGGTACCCTAGAGGGCAAAGGAGTTGCTTTCCTGATTTCAGTCACACTCTCCTCAGAGAAGCCACTGATTTTTGAGAGTTAATTTTATTCCCTGAACTTTGCCAACATTTTGGATCCGCTCACGTAACTTGGAAGTAGAATCCATAGGGTTCTTTAAATAGAAATTTATGTCATCTGCAATGAGGGAGAGTTTTACTTCACCTTTCCCTATTTGGATCCCCTTTATGTTTGCATCTTGTCTTATTGCTAGAACTAAGCATTCTAATACTAAGTTGAAGAGGAGTGGAGAAAGTGGACATCCTGTCTCGTTCCTAAATTTAGAGGAAATGGCTTTAGCTTTGGGTGCCACTGCAGTATTTGTTCAGTCAGTAACACTACTTACCATCCACTATGATTCTGAAGTACAACATTCCAAACACTCACAAGAAGAGAAATATCTACCATCAGAGATCTTCAGTCCAGTTACTAGGAATCATGTTTAAGAAGACTCAAAAGGGAATGTGGAAATAGAGGAAATCTGGACTAACATCCAGAACGCTTAGGAAAAATTGTAGAATAAGAGGCCAGCATGAGGCTGGTCAAACAAATTTCTTAAAACAAAGAGAGTTCTGAAGTTAAAACAGTAAATAAAGAAACTCAACTGTGTGTGGAGAAATACAAGTGTGATCGTAGAAACGTGGGACATAGCAGCACAAATCTGAGGCCAGCCTGACTATATAACAAGACTGGGGGAAAAAAAGAATTAAGAAAAATGAGGGAAAAAGAGAGGGAGGGAGGAAAGAAGGAAGGAAGGAAGGAAGGAAGGA